GTACCCCTACTAACAATAGGGGCATGTGTTCCATCTACTAACTGAACCTGTGTATGTAACGGCTCGTCAAAAGTGGTGAAGTGATGGGCCTCACCTGTCATGTGACCATTCGCACCCGAGTCCAACATCCAAAGGGGAGATGAACTGGCACAAGCGTGAAAGGCACGAGATATACCTGTAGTGGTGACAGCAGCAGTAGTCAGACTCTGAGAAGTCAGAGCAGACATAAGTATATCTAATCGGAAAGTGATAGCATCCATATCACTTTGCCAAGGAGGAGCAGTAGCAGGAGTGGCGGTAGTGGGCGGTGGTACCTCAGCAATAGCAACAGTACGGCTGCGAGAAGGTGGTTTAAGCTCTGGATGGAGCTTCCAGCAAGTAGCCCTGAGATGTCCTGGTCGGCCACAATAATCACATTGACGGGAATCCCCCCGTCTGCGCTGATCTGGGGCGCCCTGACGGCGCTGGTCTGAGCGTTGCCCATCCCTGACTAAGGATCCTGAACGGGACCCTACAGCAGCTGCAAGGGCCATCTGGTCAATCGAAGGAGTCAAAGCTGCAACTAGAAGTGATGTAATACGGACTCGACGCTCATACTGCTCAATCATCCCATACACCTCATAAAGAGAAGGAAGTGTCAACATCGACAAGATCTGAGAACGAGGTCCCTCAAACTCATCACGAAGCCCCATAAGGAACTTGTGAATCCTATCCTCCTGCTCTCGAGTATGCAAGAATGCTGCTCCCTCGGGCTCTATCTTCGGAATAGCAGCAAGAGGACGTAGAGACTCATACTCAAGCCAGCGCTGGGTCAAATAGCCATAATAATCCTGAACGGTCATATCTCCCTGCCGAGCATATGAGAGCTCCTGAGAAAGCTCATAAACACGAACTCCCCGTCCTGACTGAGAATACATCTCTGATAATGCGCTCCATAGCTTCGGAACAGAGCTATGAAACTGGTGGATCCTGCAAACAGAGGGCTCCATTGAGCCAAATAACCATCCAAGAATGACACAGTTTTCAGAGAACCATGCAGAATATCCAGGGTCGGCATCAGCTGGCTTTGGGTGAGATCCCGTCAGCCAACCAAGCTTCCCTACACGGCCTAAGAAAAGCTGGAATGACTGTGACCACTCAGCGAAGTTACGACCATTCAACAATTGTGCCGTAACTTTTTGAGAGATCATGCCCGGTAATGCTGGTAATGCAACTGTGCTAGTAGGCACTGTATACTGGTCAAACATAAAAGTGGAAGTACCCATAGATGTCTCAACGGTAGAGGTGTCAACAGTAGGGTTCTCAAGTCCCTCAGTAGTAGCCATATCAACAACAATACTAGGGCACCCGTGACAGAAAAATAACTCTAAGATAAATAGAGGAATAAAATAAGGGAGAACAATATACCTTCAGTCGAACAGTAGCGACAAATAAGGAAGGTCCAAAAAGCTCCCAAATAATCAAGTCACGGTGCCCAGAAATCCAATAAATATAAATGATCTACTGCATCAAGAGCAGATCAACAGACGGAGAAGAAGATTTAACCCCTCATAAAAAAAAAAAGGGATCCTAGAGATTGCAACCTGGTAGCACTATGACGAAGAGTGCAAAGGATGAAGTTAAAACGAGAAACACGACCCGACAGTGGGCTGAGCAGTGACCCAACAGTAGGCTAGGTGGTTGGGCGTCGTGTTTATTGGGCAGTGGGTTGGGTTACTGGGCTGGTCTAGTTTGGGACTATATTGGGTTGGTATGGGTTTATCAGTGGACTGGTTTGATGTGTGGGCTATGTTGGCTGTCGGTGTGGTTATTGAAGGCAGTCGGTGGTTGTTATTGAAGGCAGTCGGTTGGAGGCAGTCGGTGGTTTTTCATGTAGGCTAAAGGGGTTTTTTGCTGGTAGGTGGGTCGCTGCAGTGGCTAATTTGGAGGGCTAGTGTTTTCGCTGGGCAGCAGGTTGTCGGTGGCGTTTATATGGAGTCGGTGGAGTTTCGCTGGGCAGCAGGTAGTCGGTGGGGTTCAGTCGGGGATTGGGGTTGTATGTTCAGTCGGTGGATGATGTTTCTGGTTTTGGTTTCAGTCGGTGCTTTATGGGCAGTCACGCATGTTGGTTGGTGGGCAGGCAGGCTGTGGGTTGCTGGTTTTGCTTGAAGGCAGTTTGCTGGTGAGGCAATCTCGGTGGAGGCTAGGTTAGGGAGAAGGTTAGGGTTTGAGGTAGGGTTAGTGTATGGCTCTGATACCAACTTGGAATAAACGTAAGTGAAAAGGGATACTCAAATTAAGAGTAGAGCCCCGTATATATATCCAAAAATAATACAAAGTGACTTAAACACCCTTGTAGTTTAGGCAAAATATAAAAATCTTAGTAAGAGTAAAAAAGGGAAAAAAAATCCTAATAAACCTAGACTATCTATACTCCAACGCATTATTTGCTTTATAATCAGCATGTTGCTAGCCTCTGTTGTGTTCTAATTTTAGAATATCCAATGTTACCCCAAAAGTCCAACTGTCTAAGCATAGTTTTAAAAAATACAATAGTTTATTCCATATGTTAGTTTTGGTGCAGTGTCACGGAAAAAAAAGTTAGTCTTATATTTGTTGTCCTTTAAAGATACCTATCTTAGAATATTGACCTTCTAAGAAAAAAAATCCATTATAAACTTTTTTTTTTGTGCCCTCAAAATGAAAATACCATCACTGTTATGTTGTAGATTTTCAATTGGCTCTTAGTTATTGGGTTTCCTAATTGTGGAGAGGTTATGCAACTTAAGAACTACCATTCATCATAAAGGCATTGTGCCTACATGGATGTTTATAACCAATGATCATTCTGTGTACACGTTTTTTAATTTTTGTTTTGATCTTTATTATTTTGATTTGCAGACTTTATTTGCTCTTCTAATTAGTTGATGTCTTTGTTTGACCGACACTAGGATTCGTGTTCTCTTTTCTCTTTTTTTTTTCTTATCTGATATTGTCCCCGTATTTTTCTGAGCAAAACTGTGGTTAGGAATGCATCACAACCAATTATTTCCTTGGGCCTTTGTGTATAAAGTTGAACTTTTTTGTGATGGAAAATTCTAGGCATAATTAAATTATTAATCGGGAGAAAAAGAAATCGAAGGGGTTTAGGATTGTTGGTATATACACATGTTCATTTACATTTTTGTTGATTGTGTCTCATTATTAATTAATCAAGGGAATAAGAAAATTATCTATTTCCTTTGGAGTATATGATCTCCACATTTGAAATGTCCACTTATGTTAATGGACAAGTATTTCTAGGTTTGAATTGGAAATTTTGAATTATTGAATTTAAGAATATATTCTATGAGTGAGATTTATGGAAATGGTTTTTATTTTGGGAGAGATTAATGTGATTTGTTCTGGGGTATGTAACTTAATATAGTATTGGTTTTGAGAATGTAGGTCTATGAATTTTGTTGACTTTAAAATGTAGATTATTATAGTAGATGATCCAAAGAGAGTTTATTGTGTTCGATTATCTATTTGTCATTCATTGATCAATATTTAAGTTGAATATTTGGTACTGCTAAATTTTGTGTTTTGTTAGAACTTAAATCAATTGATGCCAAAGTTTTAGATGATATTTATGAACACATAATTTTTTAATGTCTACTTCATATGGGGTTTTTGTTTATCATCCGCTTCAAGAAGAAACTCTCTCAAGTATGATGTGTGGTTTGTATTTATGTCTTTTTTGGGCACAGATTTACGCTTCATATTTATTAATTTATTTATTTATTTGGCAACAAACTGATTAGTTTTGGGAGTTTTCGGTATTAGGATTCCAAAATTTTGTATTCATGGGGTGCATTTTTCTCTATGAAACAAATTAAAAATTTAAAGATGGAAGTTATGGGTGTCTTTTTCATTTTTTTTATTGAGCAATGCATTGTTCCATAATATGTAGAAAACAAATATACTTGACCATTAAGTATAGTTAGTATATTGTGAGGATTTTTTTTTTTTTGGGATTGCGAGGACTTAGTTTATTTTTAAGTCGTCTATGCCTTTTTTCATTTATTGTCACCAATGACTTTCTGTTATAAAAAGCTTTCATATACGATAATTATTTATGATTTTTTGTTTATTACATAGTGCTTTCAGTTACAAACAATAACTAGTATATATATATATGAGTTGTGTTGATCACTAGTTTCTCCAATTTGTCATCTCGTTGATAAACGCATCTTTTATACGGTAAAAAAATTAAGGTTGATTGTTCTTAACACGATTGTGATGTAAAATTAGTATGAAATTGTTGAATTTGTGTTTACTTTTGCATGGGTTAGATAATGATTACATTACTTTGGCACTTATCATCAATAAATGAACTAACATGAATTCAAGTGGACACAATTGTTAGATGTTGAAATTTAGTTGTTTCAAAAAATGGGAATAATAATTTAGACCCAACATGAATGAATAAAGAGATGACAGGTCCTAATCCAGATCCAAGATATGATGAAACCCAAGTGGACAAGTGGATAAGTGAGACTAAGATGGGGAAGATGACTCAGTTGAGTATAAAAGATAGGAATAATAACGTGGCATAAACCAAATTATAAAAAAAAAAATAATATATCCCAAATAAAAAAGGAAAATCCAAGAGGTCGGCCAGCCGGACAGCTATCAACAGTTGTTAGGTAAATGAAATTCCCATTATTGGATCCACGTGGCAAATTCTCAGAGCTACCGAAACAAGTGGGATTTTATGGTTCCGACATCTGTTTTGTACCGTTAGTTATTATTTTTATGATAAAGTCAAAATTTATAAAAAATAAATTACATGTGTTTAAAAGAATCATTTATTTATAAATTTTTTACGTGTAAACGTAATTTCTTATTTATGAATTATAACTTAATTTTTAAAAATTATAATTTTAGTATTAATTCTATTCATAACTTTTAAAAATTGTAATTTACAACCCAAAAAAATTTTAAGCTAACCTCGAATAATAATAAATTTGAGGACAGTACCGACTTCCCGGCCACTCCATAGAGTTAGGAAGCTTCTTTTTTTTATCTCTCTCTCTATGTAGCTATACATATACGTGTACACTATATACGGTTGTTATATATGTTTAATCTTGAAGGATTTCTTTACATATTTGAGAGTTAGCGTTGAGATTGTTAGACAGAGTGATGGGGAATAAAAATTATTTGGCGATGAAGACTGATGCTTCGGCAACAGAAGAATTGATCACTTCCGATTTGAAGGATCTTGGCAACGCTGCCAAGAAACTGGCTAACCATGCGATTAAGCTTGGTGGGCTTGGATTTGGGACTTCTTTCCTTCAATGGGTGGTTTCAGTTGCTGCAATGTAACTTCTCTCTCTCTCTCAACTTTTTTATGTGGTAATTTGAGGAAATAATTTCATCTTTAGTTCACAACATTTAGTTCAGTAAATAGACTGTGTGTGTGTGAATGTTGTGGCAAATGAACTTGGATGTATAAATCTACCAAGATTTGTTGAGGATTATCAAATGGATTGTTAGTGCTAATATAAAATGCTTTTAAAGAAGAGATGCTTTATGACTGATGATTTATATGTGGAGAATGCTATGGTGGAATGATCATATACAATTTTTTAAGATTTTTTGAACATTTTTTGGGGGTCATTTACAATTTATGGGATTTTTTGTGATCGATCTTAAACATTTGCGATCAATCATGAAATCCTAAGATGTTAGGATCAATCAAACCTCCCAAAGGTTGTAACTTGGTCTTCAAAAAATTCTTGGATATTCTATCGGTGCATCTCGTTATGCCACCAGTAAAATTGAAGGTCGTACAGGATTTGACTATTGGATATCCTTAGACTCAAATCCTACTGTCCTTGTTGCAAAAGCAAAAAAAATTCAGATCTTTTCGATCTTCCAAGAACAATGTTATCTGGGCTTAATATAAATTTATAGATAATTCTTACCAGTGCATGACCCTCTGTAGCATCATTCTTAACTTGTTTTTCAGGCCCTGCCCATCGATTTGAATATACAAATGGTTGTGCAAGGATAGTAGACTTCTGTTTTATGCATTTTGTTCATGCTTTCCTGTCTACTGCTGCTATACATTAGTCATTTCTTTCACTACTCTACTTGATTTATGTTGTAGAATACAGTGTGGTAAAACAATTTCAAGTAGTAGAAAAGTAATAAATCAAAAAATTGAAGAAGATAGATCGTTAGGTAAGGCGCGACACTCGTTATCTTCGAAATAGTAATTTTTTCACTTATAATGCAGATGGACTCTTGAAAATTCTATCCCAGGATACAATGTTTAACTTTAAAATTAACAAAAACTACACTCCTTAGTAATCTTGGAATCAAAACTCAAGCCCGAATAAAAAATCAAAAAATATAGAAGTTTTGAATCAAGGAGAAGAAGAAGGATTAAATTGTTGATACTTTGTTCTTGCACTTGAACCCTATTTATAGTGTTCTATGCATTTCTTAATAGGAGAGTGTGACCCTTCAAGTCCATGGCAGAAGACACCCCTTGAAAGGGCTTGAATAATGTAGTTGTTAGAGACTAATTTTCAAACAGAATACCTGTTACATTCAAACGAGATTGTCATGTTCGAACGTACTCAACTCTTAGTATCTTGATTCTGAGATATTCTAAGATTTCTGTCAAAGCACTGGGAGCAAATCACGTTCAAACATGGGTTGTGTTTGAATGAACCGAAGTCACAGTATCTTAGCTTCTGTCAGAAACTGAGATTCTGAAAAGGTACTGTCAGAAACTGAGATTCTGAAAAGGTACTGCGAGCAAAGCACGTTCGAAGTATTGTTTTAGCGTTTGAACGTCGCCTCCCTCCTTTTAATTCTTCTTCTTCTTCTACTTCTATATATATATTATATACATATGCAAAATTATAACTTGAAATTCTCATTATGTAGACCTCATTTTTAAGAAGATTCCTTAAGACCTTGAGTGGAGAATGAAAATTTTCCTCTATTTATAGATGAAGATGAATCCATGAAGAACCTCCAAGAACCAATGTGGGATTCATGTCTTTGCCCTCCTACTTATATATATATTTTAATTTTTATGATAATACATGCAAATGATGTTTTACTAATCAATATATCACTATTAGTAAATAACTATTTATATATTTACCTATGTATATAACAATTTACTCTGCGATAAGTTGACTACGTAATACATCGTTTTCTTATGGTTCTGTAGATATTTGTTGATCTTGGACCGTACCAACTGGAAGACCAACATTCTTACGTCCCTTCTAATCCCTTACATTTTCTTGAGTCTGCCTTCATTAGTGTTCAGCTTGTTCAGGTAACTATACATTCTGTATGGCTCCGATATTTTCGTTCGTGCTATTGCTTATTCATTTTCTTGCATAGTTCTAATCTGTTTGATAATGCAGGGGAGAAGTTGGGAAATGGATAGCTTTCGTAGCCATTGTAGTGCGCCTTTTCTTCCCACGGCATTTTATAGGTTTAAGCCACTTTCAGTTAGTCTTGTTAATTAATCATGGTCACACTTCAATGCAGTTAAGAAAATCTTAAGAGTAATATGTTTATGTTATGTTGTATTCATCTCCTGATATCTGGGACATCTTATAATCAACCTATTTTAGTAAATGAACTATGATTTAGGACACAATTTCTTTATTGGCAGGATCATTCTTTTCCCTTTCAACTAAATAAATGAGCTAAACATAATAACAGATTTGAAATGATGCTAAATGTTAATTATTCTCTCTGCATATTTTCAATTATGAGTTGTGTCGCTGATAATGAGTGTAAATGCAGATTGGCTAGAACTGCCAGCCGCATTGATTCTTCTCATGGTGGTGTCACCCAGCTTTTTGGCCGACACTGTGAGGGGCAACTGGATTGGTCTTGGGATATGTCTTGTCATCGGGTGTTATTTGCTGCAAGAACACATCCGAGCATCTGGTGGTTTCAGAAATTCCTTTACAAAAACCAATGGCATTTCGAATACTGTTGGCATAATCCTTCTGTTGGTCTATCCAGTATGGGGGCTGATACTTTACATCCTATAGGCACCATTACTAGTGCAGCTTCTGGATTGTTTTCAATTTGCAAATCTGAACCTTACACCATCTATATTACTATTTGGTTTGTCAGCTGGATTGTGTAATTTGTATTTCTTCTTATAAATCAGTCTGTTTTCTTTGGATCAGATCCTTGGGACCTAGTGTTTGATACAATTATGTATTGCATAAGCATCTGTTTTACTTGAGAAACCTAAAAGCTTGAATCGATAACCACTCGCCAAGCTGGAACATGAGCAGAACTCATAGCTTAGCTGGATGAACTATTAGTACTCCAACTGTTCTGTCTTGTTTACTGAATAATTTCTGTGTGTAGAGCTCCCATCTCTCTCATGGTTGCTCTGCTCCATTGGAGAAGGTTTTTTTTTTTCCTCCATTTTAATTGAACTTCTGAACAATCCTGACTCGTTGGGGATAGGCTCGAAAGGGAAGGGAACTGAACGCCTGTGAGAAAAGAAATGGAAATAAGAGCTGAATGACTAAGACGACTGAATTCAGGTTCTAAACCTGCCAAGGGCAGTCCTTGCCTCAACTCATGGATACATAAAACCCTGTCATTCCTCTTTGGAGATGAGGGGCGTTTGCCACCCGAGATAAGCTCGTGGTGGGAATTGTTTTTATTTTTCAGTTTAGCATGACTGCCAAGTAATTTATTACATTTAAGAGATAATTGCGAAGAAAATATTAATGCTAACGTAGAATTTCTGGCCACAGAATCCTCCAATTTAGTTGCAGAACTTGCATTACTTTCATCTATACAAGATCTTGAAGAAGAAGAAAAAAAAAAGAGCATTGGGAGTTGCTCAGAATGTGTATCATATTTTATATGACCCAAGTAATCAGTAATAGCACTGCTTAATCTGTTCTTGAAAAACAAGAAGAATGAACTATGATGCCAGCAGTCTGCATATCAGGTTCAAACACTGCTGTCACACCTTTGACCCCTTTGCTTCATTGTACAGTCGATCAATGCAGTCCTGTAGATGTGGCATAACAGAGTTCAGAAATGCCATTTCATTTTTTTCCTTCTTAGATTTAGTGGTTAAGAGGCATACTAAGATTTGCTTGTACACTTTCCGACAACTGTTATAATTGTAGTCACAAGAACAGTAGCACATAATATAGATTTTTATACATGTTAAATGCAAACTTGGGGGTACATTAGCATTGGGGAAGTTGTTTTCTTGCTTTTGAAAAATGTTACTACCTGCCACGATTCGAACAGTGGGGTATAATCGCATGTAGAACGCTTCAAATTAGGAAAGTCACACATAAGTGAAGAAAGGCAGGATGGGAAATTAAGAAAACAGTAGAGCATAAGAGGTACCTTATAGTACTTAAGCAGCTGTGGCCTTTTAAATTTGAATATTGGCGTTATAAAGTTCCTCTCGATGTCAAAAGGAGTTGGCTCCAAGTGAACTGCTTTTGACATTTCAAAACCTCGGAGCTGCGCAAGTGTCGTTTAGATCAGATAAGAAACCAAACTGAAGAATAGAATTAGCAACAAGGGAATGTGAATTAAAGTACATACTTGATGTTTCTGGTCAGTGCTATTGAGTTCATCTAAAATGTATTTCCTTGCCTTAAAGTTTTCGCACAAGGATTTGAAATCTCCAGTCTGATGATTTTTTCCCGCCCACTCTTCAAGTGCCTTTCTTTCAGGGATCACCACAACAAGAAGAAAGGACTCAAAACTGTTCCCATAGACCCAAATCTGTGAAACAATAAAAATTCAGCCACTCTATAAACTTTATTTATCAATTACTGGCAGATATTGGTGCTTATTTTTGTGTGCGTGTGTGAATGTGTCTACATCTATCAAATTCTAGTTTGTAACACGTGCAGTTTGTAATAGATGCAGTTTATAGCAAACCGAAGTCACTGTAGGGCATTGCGAATAAGCGCTTTCTATGCTTTCCACTGCAATATATTCCCCTTGAGACAACTTGAATATATTCTTTTTCCTGTCGATGATTTTCATTGCTCCACTAGGCTGCCATTCCCCAATGTCACCTGCAATGTTTTGGTCTTATTTCCTGTAAATTGTTCTTTAGCAAGTTCATCTTAATTAATAAAGTTGCCTCGATATTTTTAATATTCATAATTATTTTTTTGTCTTCTTGAGAAGAACTTAGAACAATTAAAATCAGGGCAGCTTAGCTAGTTCTTTTGATGAGCTTGACAGCACCAGGAGCTAGTGGAATGAGAATTTTTTCTTGTTCAATAAAGAGAAAAGGCCGAATAATGTCAGGAGCGTATAAGAATTAACCAGGTTTATTATGCGCAGTTGCAGACCGTGATTTATGTAAATTTAGCCACTAGTTTGTACAGGAATCCAAATGCCAACACAAGCATAGTTTTCTGCTAGAACTGAACTCCCGAATACTGTCAACTCCATGCAACATTGGCCATAACATGTGTTAATGGCCATCTCCCACATAGTGGACAAAGTGCCTATATGCCACTAAACTAGTTCTAAATGCTCCCTTATCAAGGAAGAGGACTCGTTCCATCCACAATGCACTTTTGCATAGTTTTCCCCTCAGGCAAATTTGTTACCTGTATGGAACCACCCATCCACAAGGACTTCTTTGGAAAGATCTTGTCGCTTGTGATAACCAGAAAACAAGGTACTTCCCCTCAGGCAAATTTCTCCACGCGGCACATTGGCAAGTGCATCATATTCCATCTCTGGCACCGACTCAAGCCTTGCCTTGATGGTTGGCATGGGCACACCAACAGTTCCCGTCATAGAGAACACATTCCGCCACAGCTTTCTGTAAGACCTGACATTTAATAGGACACTGGAAATCATATCAAATACACTCAACATGCGATGAACACAACTCTCACTTATTCATTCATTCTTCCATACCATATCCTTGTGAAAAAACACAGCAGCAGGCCACACGCAGAAACTCCTCCACATGTCGTGGTAAAGGTGCAGCTCCAGATAAGATTAGACGAACTCGACCCCCAAATCTTTGTTTGATCTTGTTAAAGATATAGCAGCAGTCTAGTTTATTAGGGTTTATTAAGTTTTCTTCTTTTACTTTTTTGTTCTTAGTGTAACTTTCATTGACTATATATACAGGGTTCTACACTTAATTTGTATCCCTTTCGCTTACAATTATCTCTAGTTGGTATCAGAGCCTCACCCTAACCCTAGCCCCCCGCTAAACATCGGCACAGCCACTGTCTCCTTCAACATCGACACATAGCCTGCAACAACAGACGGACTGCCAAACCATACCCAGTAGCACTGAAACATCATACCCACCAACAGCAACATAGCAACTAACCTACACCGACCGCCAAAACGGTGCCAAAAAACAGACAGCCACAAAAACCGAACCAGCGAAGTCGTCTCTGTGCCGAAACAACATACTTCACTAAGCCCACTGCCCAGACCACCTATAACCACCGACTGCACAGCCAACATTACCCACATCGACAGCCAATATATACCATCAACAACCAGACCACACCGACAAAACCCTCACCGACTGCCTTTGTTTCAGTGCCGAAAAATCAACATAAATCAGCCCAGCAAACCATCACTGACTCAATAAAATAAGCAAAGCCCAACCAAAGCCCAACCGAACCAAAAACCCAAAGCCCAGCCAGCCTAATACCCACTCTAGTGAACCAGTCCACCGTCAGATTGCACTCTTCCTCGCAGCTTCGTGTTTTACCTTCGTGCGTCACGTTCTTTATCGTAGTGTTGTCATCTATTTGAGCCACTACCTTCTTTTTCCAACATTTTAAGAGGGGTTGAATCCTCTTATCTGTTGATTTGACCTTAATGCAACAGATCCATTATTTATATGTCCTGGAATTGGGTTGTTCTATGCATCAGGATCTCAAACTGATTCTCTAGCATATTATTCAAATTCAGATTATGGGGGAGCATGTGACGGTCGATCTACTACAGGCTTCTGTGTTTTTCGAGTGATTCATCTTATCTTTTGGAAGAACAAGAAACAGTTAGTTGTCTCTCGCTACTCAGCAGAGGCAGAGTATCGGGCACTGACACTTGATACATGTGAGAGTATCTGGCTACGATCGATTCTTAGCGAGTTGGAATTTCTAGTGACTTCTTCATCTACATTATATTTTAATAATTGATCTGCTATTCAGCTTACTTCTAACTCTATATTACACGAGAGAACGAAACATATAGAGATCGATGTTCAATTTCTTCGGGAGAAGGTTAGCAGTAGTATTGGTACTCCATCGTTTGTGGGGACCAATGATCAGGTTGCGAATGTTTTTACCAAACATGTCACTCTATCTATTCTTTGAGACTCCGTTGACACTTTTGTGCCTAACTTGAGGGGGAGTGTTGGAGATATAGCAGCCTAATTTATTAGGGTTTATTAAGTTTTCTTTTTTTACCTTTTTGTCCTTATTGTAATTTTTATTGACTATATATACGAGACTCTATATTTAGTTTGTATCTCTTTCACTTACAATTATCTCAAGTATATGAAATGAACGTTGTTAAATAGAAACAGAGAAAAGCTACGACGTAAATGTTGAGAAAATCTTCAGACCTTGTAAAAAACCAGCCTGTCCAAGAGAGGGGTCGCTTTGTTTTCTTGCAATACCTTCTTGAGATTCCTCAGTAAGCTGTTAGTCGTACAGTAGGGAATCAAAACAATAACACATAAGTTTCGAAAGCAATCAACAGATCTACAGTAACACATACTAGTTGTAAGCACATTGAAACAGTGTCTTCTTTAGCGCACCTCCAGAAGAGATCTTATCCATTATACCTTCACAAGCAAAATTTCAAACCTATGCCTGAGACATCAGAATTCACGCAACTACGTATCAAATGAATCCAAAAATAGATAAACCTGTGTATGCACGGTCAAAAACTCTAGGAACTCCACAAAAGAAGGTTGGCTTTAATTCGAGAAGGTCCTCAATCAAATATCTGACATCCTGTATGTTACGAAGAAGAACTACTGTAAAGAATTTCAGACTTGCACCAGGAAGAGATTACACCCTTGTTGAGAATGGAATTATTGCAAGAAATGAAGCTGGATCTTACGCCTCGCCAGAATCCTATTGAACAACCCCTGTAGATGCAATAGGTCTCAATTATCTGGTCAAATATATGGGCTAAAGGAAGGAATGAAAAATATGTATCTTCTTCTGTGCCCTGTGAAAGAAAAACCTTAGTTACATTCTCCACTGATTTTACAGCTCAATGAAGAAAAAAAACTGAACTCTGAAAGCCCCTATGGTCAAATGCCATCTACTGAAAAGTACTGGAACTGAACTGAGAATGGTCATATGTAATGCAATTCTTAACGACAATAAGCAATTGAGCATTATTTGGTTCATGATAAAAACTTCTCATCTTACAGAAAACAGTGTCCAAATATGCTGCTCCATTCGGATCAAAGACTCCTACATGGAGCAGCATACGGATAGAATTTTATAAACCTTAGATAAAATAATATGGATAGACTCCTACCTGCAATGTAGGTAGAACAAAGAAAAAACTAGAAACTTGTTAAACAAATTATATTAACTCAATAACTCATCCATTTTTTCTTTAACAATCTACCTCAAATATGATCCGAATTTTATCATTAAAAATACATCAAAAACAAGTAATAATTTTTTGGGAGAATTATACTCAGATCCCTTGAAAATTATCACTTAATCACTCAGACCTCCTGATATTTAAAATATTACACACATACTCCATGAGGTTTGTACCTGTGTAACACTTAGATCCCCATAAAATTTGTAGATATATAATACTTAAATCCCTTAACTAAAAAAAAATAATACTTAGACTAAAAATACTCCAATCAAATATAAAATATTAAATATTTTAAATTTTACAACGAAAATTCATGTTCTATTATATTATTTATTGAAATAAAATAAAAATTAAAAAATTATTTTTTTTAAAAAAAAATCCTAATTAGTATACAATTATACTATCTATTGAAATAAAACAAAAAAAATCAAACAAGTGGTCTAAGTCATTCATAATAGAACATGAATTTTACATCTAAAATTCATGTTTCTATTATTTTATTTATTGAAATAAAATTAAAAATAAAGTCTATTTTTTTTTTAAAAAAAAATCATAGTTAGTATATAATTATACTATCTACTAGAATAAAACTAAAAAATTAAACAAGGGGTATTTTTGGTCTAAATATAATATTTTAAACTTAAGGGGTCTAAGTATTATATACTTACAAACTTTAGGAAGTCTAAGTATAATTTATTAAATGATATATTTATATTAAGGGTCTAAGTGTTACTTGCGTACAAATCTCAAGGGATTTATGTGTAATATTTTAAATGTTAGGGGGTCTGCGTAATTAAATGACAAATTTTAGAGGTCTAAGTGTAATTCTCTCTAATTTTTTTTTAAAAAAAGGAACTATATCAAGCATGTACATAGGTAAATGGCATGGCTACTACAAGCCTATCAAAATTGAAACAAATAAAGAAAACATAAACCGTAAGCGAATGTTCAACAAAAAATTAAAATCAAAGCATGCATAAAGAATGACAAGATAAATAATATTTCAATTTTGTCTCTCTATATACTTTTTTTTTGCTGCTTCTAAGACAAATAAACAAATACCTCCAATGCTATTGTCTATTCTTGGCATGGCCAGCTCAACCCTACACATAAAAAAAGGCTCTAAATTTTAAAGTTTGATAATGAAGTATATATCAAAGATTAAAACTCATTATAATTTAGCCTAACAAAAAAAATTCTGAAAGATTAAATCAACAAAATAAAATTTAGAATTTAGGTCTAAAAATACAATCCACCCCACACATACACATTTATTAAAGGATAGAAAAAGAGTTAACACTTCAATAAAAAAAAAGTATAATAAGCATCTCTTTTCCACAAATAAAAATAAATCAAACATATTTTCTATTCTCTCAAACTCGATTTTGTTCTCATTTAAATGCAAAACACCAACTAATTAAAATGTTCATTCTCATAAAAGATCCACAATAAAAACTAATTAATATAAAAAAATTCAATAAAGTTGCTATCAGAAAAAATAAAATACAACAAAATAGTAGGTGAACGTTGCATACATAAATAAGTTGAGGATCATCAAAAAATTAAAAAATAATAAATAATTTAATAACAAGATAACAAGAAATTATGAATACATACTGATAGTCGATAATGTAATACCGTAATTTTCATAAAGAACATACAAAACAAATAAGAAGAACATAAAAATATTAATAAAATAATATTTTATATTTAAAAAAGTGCGGCGCAAGCAAAAGATGAGAGAGGGAAACAGATGTGCAGTTCTGTTGGCTAAAAAAAATGTAGTTCTGTTAGCCATAATAATCTATGTATATTTATATTTTCTATGAACAATGCATTCGGATAGTATAAATATGAAATAACACATATGTGATATTTTATATATATTAAATACCTAAATTATTAAAAAGAAAAATTATGTGACATCACGTTGTTTTATTAAACATTTTTACTATGATAATATCTTAAAACGGTCCACACTTTATTTTTGATAAATTTAAAAAAAAAATATGGAGTAACTCATATATTACTTTTAATACTTGTGTGTCATCCAATAATCAATTTGTCTCATTTAATCGGTTTTATGAACGAAAACTCGACAATGAGTGATAAGAAGAGACTATAATTATTACGAGATGCACAAATACTCTAATCATTTGAATGGAAGGAGGCATAATATGACCAACCCTAAGGCCCGACTATAAAATAGTCGTCCAGAACTCCAATTTAATTTTCAGCCCTCAGTTCAGTTTCATGTTATGAGACTCTTTTGAATGGATCAAGTTAAAAGTCCAATACATTTCACAAGTCTATCTAAAATTTTATAGAAAATCCTAAAATGTATTAATATTTTTGCAGGCCTATGTAAAGTCTTATGTAAACTTCTAAAATATAACAAAACCTTTTAAAAGAAATTTGAAAGTAAGGATTTCTAACTTTAAAATATATCCCTCAAATTCTTTTCACTATTTTTTCTTCCACTCTCACTGCATCTCTGCAATTTTTTCTCTCCCACCCACTATCATTGTTTTATTCTGGTTGTTTGTCATTTTCTCTAACTCTCTTGCAATCTATTTAAAATCACAATTTTGTGGAACTCATGGCTAAATCATATAACATAAGCAACATAAAAATTCAATCAATGTCAGCTAGACACTCCAATGAGACAGTACCAATACAATATTGCATCAAGGGGAGACCTTCATAAATAAATTTGGGACCATTCAACTTTGTAAAAACACAAGAGAAGGTGAACTGGATTGCAACTTTACCACATTGTCTGCCACTAAAAGTAGTCGATCCATAGACAAGACTTCGGCTATGAAATCCCCACTTGCTATGAGTACTCCCTTTGGTTCTCCCGCTAGTATACATTATTGTGCATAAGTCAGTCTTTGAAGGAAGTTCATGATCCAAACTTCCCTGCAATATATATTACATGGTGAGGTGACTATGAAAAATCAACACACTATAATTGTTTCATACATTAAACTGTTGATGCATATATTTTACTGACCAATTGAGTGAACTCGTCCAAGGGAAACAAGCAACACCAAGCTCCTTGGCTTCCATCTTTTGCATGCTTGAAATCTTCTCAAAACTTACAATAGTTTAAAGAAGGAACATATATATCTTAGCAATTTGAAAATGTATTCCAAACTACTAATATTCTCACAGTGGAGCACTTTGACCTACTTTTTAGGTTGGACTTACACCTTGGAAGGCACTTTAGTATCTGGACCAGGAATCAATATTAAGTTTTAGAACAAAATTTTAGAGAGGCCAGTACATAAGTGAAATAGAAGAAATAAGAACATACAGATCGTAGCTTGCTTTCTTGAACAAAAAGCTATTGAGACTTCTGCGTGGTTGATAATGAACTCCACCACATTGGCACCTGCAATGTAGGTAGAACAAAAAAAAAAAATTAGAAACTTGTTGAACAAAATTACATTAACTTATTCATTTTTTCTTTAACAATCTACCTCAAATATGATCCGACTTTTGTCACAGTACCGTTAAAAATAAATCAAAAACAAGTAATAAATTTTTTTTAAAAAAAGGTTAGTATATCAAGCGTTTCATATAGGGGTGCATAGGTAATGGCATGACTGTTACAAGCCTGTCAAAATTGAACAAAGAAAGAAAACACGAACCATAGGCGAATGTTACGACAGAAAATTGAAATCAAAGCATGTTTAAAGAATGACAAGATAAATAATATTCAATTTTGTCTATCTATATAAATTTTTCTTTTTTTTTGCCGCTTCTGAGACAAATAAACAAATACCTCCATTACTATTATCCATTCTGGGCAGTTAGATCCATATATGCCACATTGGTCTTCCTATAACAAACAACCCATTATTTCTAAGGTATTTTACTAAGACTAATACGTAAACATTGCATGATATGTACAACACACACATCACACACATATATGTATTCCTCATGAATTTTGTTATAGATACAAATGTACATAAAACTTACAGGATTGACTCCACAGCGTCGGATGACTGAACCAATTTGGAGGGAGGCATCATAAACCTCTTCACATGTGAGCCATGTATAGGGTCCAACCTGTGAGTTTAGTTGATATTCATCATTTTATCATCTGTTTCCATGATAAATGAGTCAATGGATGCACTCACAGAGAAATGAAAATCAGAATCACAATGGTTTTGCAGTATAGATATATATAGTAATATTTCTAGCATAAGTACTTGGTGAAAACACACACAAATATACCTTTCCATCTGTGCTTTGACGACAACCAAGCATGTGGCTTTTAGGGTTCCTTTTAACGGACTCACTGCAACCAAGAACAGAGTTTTACAGCAAAAATTGAATAGTTAATGCAAAAACCAAGTTGGCCAAGAGAATTGGAATTGACCCTATTAACATTCTTTCATTTTAAGCAAATATGAAAACTATTATAGATTCTCAATTAGGTTAATGGCACTTTTAATGCTTAAAATATGCATATTTTATTAGTTTGGTCTTTAAAGTATCAATTTGGTCCTTTAAATATTTTATTCGTGAACAGCTTGATGCACTATCTCCCTTCAACCCTTTGAGCAAAATGCGGCAAAAGGAAGGAAATGTTCCCTACATAGATGGATTGTTAAGGTTTTAATGGAATGATTATGTATTGGGCATGTGATACCTTTTGAAAAAATGATATGTGATCACTTCCGTCAAAAAACTTAACCAATTATCTGATTAGAGACTAAAGTGACACAAATTAAAACTTTAGGGATCAAATTGACAAAATTAATACAAAGAGAATCAAAAAAAAACAAAATAAGCATACTTTAGGGACTAAAAATAATATTAACCTAATTGATATCATCCTATTCTGATAAAAAAAAGTATAATTCTTTGAAAATTACATTTTAAGTTGCCATCAGCTAAATTATGGTACCAAAAAATTATAACGTTTTAAAGTTAAGTAGTAACTATTTTTGGTGCAAATTATAATTTAAAATGATACAATGAGCCATAAAATATTGTCATCGGTAATGCACTTTTTAAAAGGCAAGTCTCACTTTTTAAATATGAAATTAGAATTGATTGAAATAATTCATAATTGATCATGAAATGCAATCGACTTAAACTAATTTCAAGCATAATTTAAAATTTTTAACTATTTACCATTAAAAATGGTTAAATGGTTAATTCCATGCAACATTAAACTATAAAAAAAATAATAAACTTTACAGACAGTATCGGAGTTTTTTTTCGACTAACGTAGTGTAATCCATGATAGGGTGGTTCAATGAAGAAAGGAATGACAGTGTACCTGAAGAAGTCCCAGGGAGATTCCATTCCCGCCGGCAACTTCATGAGACCATCTTTAGCATATATGTACCTGTAAACTGGTCCCGCCGCCGGCTTTTGCTTATTCGCCGGCCTTGCTACTTCAACTTTCACTGTATAATCCGACATCCTCACCTGAACTAATAAGTGTTCTGATGATCCTTGTGAAGGTGAATAACTTTGGTATATTTAATGCAGAGCACACAGCGAGAGAGAGAGAGAGAGAGAGGGGGAGATGAGCTAAAGCAATAGGTGCTGGTGGAAGAAATCTCAGTTGTTTTATGGCGGTTTTTGTGTATGTTTTGACTGATGACGTACACCTCTTTTATATAGTATTCATCGTACCAACAATTCAACAAAAATTTGAAAAGTAACGTTGGATAAATCTAAAAATTAGATTTAATAATTATAATTATTAATTTTATTGTGAGTTTTAGTATTTATTAGAATTCACCAATTATTCAATGGTTGTGATTATTATTTTTTTTCTCTCTTTACCAGCCCTTGAACCCACAACCAAGTTGTTGAAATTTATGGTTCACAACCACCAAGCTAGAAGGAAGGCCGACAATAATTATAATTATCAAATCAAATTTTTAAGTCTATATAAGATTACTCAAATTTGAAGTTACAATTTGGGTAAGGAAAAATGTTATCCCACATCATTTATTGATTTAATTTATTAACTTAATTCATTATAACTCTTCGATTTATTATGTGACCTATCAAACATTAAAACTTAATATTAATTTAATGATTAGAATGAAATTACATCATTAAATCAAATTTTTAGGCCTAAAGTGTAATGACCTAATTTATTGATCTAATGATATAATAGTGATATAATTCAATAGTGTGTTATAACGGTAAATTTTGGTCTTTTTATTAGAATTTTATCACTTGACACGTCATTATGTCAATAAATTAGATTATTTTTAGGTATCAATAATATTACTATTTTAAAAGTATAATGTTATTTAAATATAATTTATTGACTTAATCATTTCTAACCGTTGGATTGACAATTAGCCTCAACATTTATTGAATTATTTTCCTAATATACGATAAATTTCAAACAATATTACCAGTCTATGATCCTTTTGAATGAATTTAGTTACCAAATTAGGACATTTTTTTAAAAAGCGGAGTCTTCCCTTTTGTCGAAAAGCAAGGTCAACAACCCCACATTTAAGTGTAAATTCATTGGGCTGAACACCGTCTTTTTAAATCTAACTAAAACATTGATATTACGTTATCCGATCAAAGTTTAAAAGCAAGGTTATTGACTCTACTTTTTAACAAAAACGAAGTATTATAATTTGATAAATAAGTTTAAAAATATTATAAATCAATGATATTATTTGCAATTTGTCGTATTCTGTTAAAATAACTCAATAGTTATTGAGACTCACAATCATTTTACAGATTATAATAAACATATTTAATTCTAAATAATATTATTCAATTTAAAAGGGGGCCATAGTTTCATGCAATTTCAGATGAAACAGAGCTGGCATCAATGTTTTTCACCGCGTAGCATCATAGATATAGTATAATACTCAACTTGTTCTGTCTATCGCTTTCACTAGTGGAATATAAGCATTACATAGATTTTATTTCGATTGCCCTTTGAATTTTTCTATGGCTTTAAAAAGTATTGCCTCTACCCCCAAATAGTTTATGTCGTAATAAGGACGAACAGTAAATTCACACGTTTTAAATTTAAATTTTAACAATTTTTTAGAGTCAGATTAAGAGAGATTTATCCTTCATAAAAATTCTAGTCTCAGCGTAAATGACATACTTTTGGTCAGACCAAATAAACGATTAGTTAAAATACGAGTAAATTAACCCGAATTCCCTTACCATTAAATTTAAAATAGAAAGAAAAAGCATTGCATCTAGTCATGAGCCATAGCATCATGGAAAACTATTTGGCTTCGTATTGACACTCTTTTGATATCAACACAATTTGATTGTATAAGACATCATTCGTTAGGAGATTTGTAAATCACGAGTTCAATAATTAAAACTCAACTCTAAAACGTTTTGAATGAATAGTCTGCATCATAACTCTAATTTAGTTACATCCATGATATAAAATATAACAGATTTTAATAAGATTATTCGGCGATCTCAAATAGACTCATCCAATGACCACCAACATTCATTTTAAAATCATTCACACTGTACATCATTCTTTTCAAAACTATTGACATTGAAGACACAAATTACCCTAAATCATTCTACCAGATTAAGGGGATTTTTTAGAGAAGGGGGGGTGGTGGTTAAATTGCAAAAGGGCAATACAATTGATGGCGTATATCAACGTGGATGAGCTTAAGGTGAAAGTAATGTGAGATGAGCGTGGATCAGAGCTACGAGGCTCGTGTATGATGCTACCGTGAAGTATTCTCGGGGATTAAAGGGGTGCACACAGTGAAAATATAGTGGTTCACCGGCTTAGGAGCTCGGCTAGTCCACTCTTCAATGGAGGTTCTTGCTCCTTTTGTTTTATTCACATTGATTACAAAGTTGCTATGGCTTCCGATTGCCACTAAAGTTCTCTCCCTGTTAGGAGGTGTTACAGTGCATTTATAGGGTCATTCTCTGCTAAATGGGATCTTGGCCGAGATTCTTGTCCTTACTTCGTGGGGTTCTCCCTAATTCTAGGAGAAGATCTTGGTTGGTTGAGATTAGGTGTCTTGATTATAACTTCCTAACGCTTTAGAAACCTCTCGTGATTATCCATCTGTTGTCTTGATTGTTCTTGCCCTTGCTTATCTCAAAGGGACCTCCAGCTCTACTCTTTCGAGTTCTGCTTGTCTAGTCTGACCTTCTGAGCTGATACTTGGGATTTATTTTGAGGTATCATTAGTTGCCCCCCCCAGCCCTTGGCCCAAGCGAGCTTGGGCATGGGCTGAGTTGCTTTTACCTTGGACCAGTTCTGCGCCTAGCTGACCTTATTCTGTATGTGAGATGCAAGTGAGAGGGGTTTTTTGACGGTTACAACAATCATGACTCCCTTGGTTCCCGCGCACACCTTATCCCATGTCTTTCAAGCCTTAAATGCTCAAACGGCTAAAAGAAAATCGCACAAAACCACCGTTCATCTTCTACACTGTTCACCTTCGTCTTCGACTCTTTTTCTCTGCGATTTTTGGGCTTTCCTCCACGTGATTCTCTTATTCTCTGCTCAAGACTGTGTTTTCTAGGTTCTCTTCAAAGTCCTGTTTTGCTCCTCTCCTCTAATTTTGTTCTTTGGCTGCTGTTTACTGCTCTCTTCCCTATTTAGGTACGCCTCCTTCTGCCCCTTTCTCTTTCTCTTGCCTTTCCTCGCTCTGGATCTCTCAATTTCGAAGTGGCCATTGTTTTTTTGGGTTTTTTGGTTCTTTTTCTTTTGGAATTGCCATCGTTGCCTATCTCCTCTTCCCCGTTTTGTGGATTGGAACTCTACTGTGCGAATTCTTATTGTTGGGAGGTACAACGTTAACCCTAGGATTATCAGGGTGTGTTTAGTTAATATTCCTCCTTTTTATAATTCTTTCGACTTACCTTTCTCTTTGCCAATCATGTATGCCTCCTCTGGAGCAACTTTCTCCTCTATTTTCCTCCTAGGTGACAGGTTTGCCGAGAGAGATTATGATTTAGGGGACGTGGGCGATGAGATTGACAACTTCCCCAGTGTGGAGGTTGTCGATACCGAGGTAGACTCCAAGAAACTCCCCTCATCTTCCTCTCATGTACCTCCTAGTGCTGACAAGGATAAGGGCAAGGTGAGTGAGATAGAAATTTCTGACAGTACAGTGGGTATAAGGGCTGCCCTGAGGCATGCCGAGCTCGTGGGACCCAGTGCGATGGATCCTTCCTTTATAGAAGCTCTTAGTGCTCACTTTCGCTTTCCCCCTGGTGTCCAGCCCTGGTGTCCGGATAAACTCACCCCATACGTTGCACAGGTGCACAAAAGAGCTTGTTTCTTTGTGGCCACTTTCGAGAATGGCCTTCGTTTTCCTATGCACCCCTTCATCAAAAATATTTCTGCAGCACTTCAATGTCTGCCCTGCTCAGCTTTCTCCCAACTTCTAGGGTGTTTTAGTGGGTATTTTAGTTTTCTTTAAGAAGCGTGGACTTGGGACTCCCACCATTTCTCTACTTATGGACCTCTTCAATGTCAAGCTTACCTCAACTGAAGGCTTTCTATATATTTCTAAGCGAGCCTCGTCTAGGCAGGTCATCACACACCTCCTGAGTTCTTATAAAGGCTGGAAAATTTATTTATTTTTCGTTGGGGGTGTCAACTGGGAATACAACCCTGCTGATAAAACAGACACACTTGGGATTCCCAAAGCCTGGACAGCCCCAGATAACTTAGGTGAGTTCTTGCCTGACTGAACCGCGGTATGAAGATTTATGAGCTATTTTCCTGATCTCTGCATCTTTGATGTTGCCCTTTTTTTATTATATTTTTTTTTATTTAGGCATTCGACCTAAACTTAGCGCCGAGGACGAGCAGGTGAAGCTGAAGTTGGCTAAGTGTAATCCAAAGAGGTACTCTAAGCTCATTAAACCCTGGGAATTAGGAAGGCAGGGATTCGGTCCTCCTGAGACAGTGATAGAAGCTCCAACCCCACTTTCCTTTATCCGGCTTGAGGACGTAGAAGGTAATGCTCTTTCCCTTATTTGGTTTCATTGTTTTCCTCCCTTTCTTTTTCCTTTTGACTAACCAGCTCAAATCAAATCTCCCAAGATCTTCTACAATGAAGCCTACCCCTGAGATGTTCCAAGCTAAGGTAGAGCTATTGAAGAAGAAAAACAAGGGTCGTACCAAGCGCAAGGCTGAGGGCAGTTCTGGTGAGAGCTCAGTTACTTGAGCTAAAGTTCAGAAAATGGGTATTTTCTCTGCCTCTGCCTCTATCCAGAAGGCCCCACCATCCGCACTGCATGTCTCACTGACCTCAGAACTTCCTTTCCCATAAGGGACCCGACCTGCCACTGAAGATGCTCCTGGGCGAGACCAGACCTCCCCTTCTACATCTGAAGTTAAGAGGTTCTTGGATACTGCTCTCACTTTCCCTGGTCGTGCTACTTCTGCATCAACCAAGGAGACCTCCCAACCTCTCATGACAGGC